TATTCATCAATATATCGTCTACTAAACGTTAGATATGGAGTTCCCATCTCACTACACGCCTTTAAACTGGTTTGATAGAATACAGTGAATACGAGGTCGAAAATACACGTCAGAATGATCCACCACAATTAGGCAGGCAGTCAGATGATACAAACTCGAATAAACTTGAACTGATAGACAGTGTCACAGTAAGCAGCCTTTGCCATGTTTAGGCTTTTATCATACATGCACCTGGACGTATTCAAGCTGTAGTTTATGACATGTGAAATCATCATATATATACTTGGAATTGATACCACTAAGGAGAAGGATTTTTTAACGAATTACTGCTAAGCATACAAAAACCGAGAGATACGTATAACGAAATGGGCCGCTAAAATGTACCTGGACAAATTCAAAGGAAAAATGTCAATATAGGAAACATTTAAGCATCCTTTGCCAATATACTACAGACAGTCTCATTTTTACTGTAACAGTCAACAACGAAATCACTCGGCGTCCTGATTTCAACAATACAGGAGGGCACATACAAGGCGGTGCCGACCCCTAGCCGATGGAATACTAAGAAGTCTGCGGCAAAATGTAGAAACATACAGAATTCGTTTTAAAATGTTTTGCACCGAAATGTCTAAAATGTCACACGCACAAAGCAGGTAAGAGTCAAGTCAAACATTTAAGCATAGGCATGAAATATATCGATTGGAAAGCGAATCAAAGCTTCATAATTAAACAATACAGCACACTACGAAAATAGGTCAGAAGTCAATGAAAGCAGATTTGAAATAGTATTTGAGGTAGTGAATTAATCACCGAGGTCAGTCATTCCTAACTAATGATCTGAGATCACAAGGTCTACACAAACATGCCCATATGTTCATATACACAATCGATTATATGACAAATCTAACCACTGAACTGTTAGTTTGACATTTAAGCCACGTTTACAGGCATATATAAACATTTAGGTGCTTGGAACACTATTCAACTCACCAGTGGCCTGCAAACAACTTGTAAGTCAAACAATTCATTTCCACGTATCATTCTCACATTCATCAAGCCGACTGTCTATCCAACACATTCACCACATCAGGTAAATGCTGTTTCATACGGTCACACTCCTTCACCAGTCATTACAAAAACTCCGCTGTGTGTTACAGATTCTATGTGAAATGTGAAGTAGTATTGTCTCCACCTCTCCATGTCATCGATATAAGAATAGATCTTCTGCTCTGTGGCAAAGAGTAATTCCATTATGGGTGAATTTGTTTTGATAAAGTCTCACAGTGTTTTACACTAATGTTTACTCCAAAAGTTTCGAGCACAATTTATTGTTCATAATCATATCAAGGTACTCACACGACTTCCTTACTTCATTTATATCGTTCAATTATTTTTCACTTGATTTTTACTTGATTTGATTGGTAGTAGTATTTTCCATATTTCGGGCATGAGTGATGAATCATTTCTATTGAATGTGTTTGCTGTAGACTCGATGAACAAAGATTCAGTAATCAACCTCACTATCCACCTTCGCGAGTGAGATCAACCATTCTTACCTTAGCTAAATCCTAATGTACCGATAATCTGACTACACCTGACCTACTAGTCTGACCTATGTAGTTCAACTCGCCCACAGTCATAGCAGGGCATTTTGTAAATTATGTCATCTTTTCCAATAGGGTCAACAGTGTCCTTTAACCTACAGACCTTGTCCTGCCTGAGTGAGTTTGTAGGTTTAAATGCCACCCTAATTCCTGCTTTGCTATTAAGAATCCCACGTAGGTTCTCAGATGTCCCCTCTTCACATGGTATAACTGTAGATGACTTATATTCTCTCTTCTTTATGTTATTGTTACTAGTTTCACAATTATTTGTCTCTTTTCTTTTGGTATTTCCGATCTTCCTTATGAATTCATCGATTTCATTTCTAGTAATTGTCAATCAAACATCCTTTTTATAGTCATTTTCGCAATACTCAGATTCCAAATACGTATATTTTATGAGTTTATTCATTTGGTTTTTCAGATTCTCACAAAAATGGCACGCTTTTCGACACTTTGCATCCTAATGGCTTGTGTTCTACTGCCACATCTCATCGAAATGAAACCTGCCAATAAATCTGAGAAACTCCCATCACCACCACTACCTATTAACCAAAACGGTGAGTTACACAGAATAGTGTTTTGTTCTTTTCTGTGTCAGTTTTTGTATGAATTTACTTATTCCCAATTACACTAACAAATATACATACACAGATCTGTTTCAAAAGCATCATGCAGAGTGAATAAAGTCCAGTGACACTTACTTTATGAATATCATCAAAAGAAGGAATCGTGATAAATGACTAGCGTATATCAAAAGCGTTGAAAGTAATCACTTTTGTGTGTGTCGTAGAGGTGGGTGATGAAATTGAGTTGTTTAGAGAAAAACACGTTTAATGGGGCCTGATAACCACTGCATAATCGAGGAGTTCAGTGTCACAGTCACCAGCTCACCTTATTGCCATTTCATTCTATCTACGTCTGTTATGACTAACCAACTGAATCGATGATGAGAGTATTCTTCGGAACGAAACGCAACATGTATAATGATCGATTAACTACCGTTTGGTGCATGATAAATATAGCTTTTAAAGAGAGAGAAAAGAATTCGTATCTCACTATTCCCTGTTGTCATACGTGTGAAGAAGAATACTTCTGATAACACTGGCTTCCACCTTAGTTCTCATAATGGGACTGAAAAATATAGTTCGACATTGTAAAGTCCTCGCCTATTCTGGATGACAAGGAACATCATCCCAGGTGACATGTGTTGGAAGTTGACCAAGTGGCTACCTGTTTCTCATGAAGCATCAAATCACACCCTAAATGTCATCATGGTCATTCGTTGCATTTCTTATAATAATAATAATAATAGTAATAACAACTTCATTCCAAACAGTATTTGTGGTACAGGTATGGAATATTCAGTGTGCATTACAATATATTGCATCTAATTAAAAAAAGAATATAAAGAACAGCATTGCGTTCACATATTTAGACAATGCAGCACAGAATATGAAGTATAAAATTGGTGTATAATATAAGATGAGAACAACAGTGTAATAGTAACGGGGAAAGGAAAACAAAAACTAATGGAACTATTTGTTAGAGTGCCACAGTAAGTTTATCGTGTCATACCTATCGGAATTCTCATCACATAACAGCTGTGCCGGATATGGAATTGCGGAGATTTTGTACTTGGTACTACTAGCATATAGCCTTCTATAGCTGCTTCTAGTTCTACCAGATGAAATACAAGGAGACAGTTGCGTATAGAGAGGATTCTCGGAGTCAGTTAATATTGTATTCGCAAATTTTTTACATGACATTATACGTCTATCCGCAATGGTGTTAACCAGTTGGTTTAACGATATCTCACTTGCCGTACTGACAGCTTTCAGTGCCTTCCCTACTGAGAGTATTACGTAGTCTAGGAAAGTTCAATGGGGAGCAGTAAATAGGGATGGGTAGAATGCAAGAATTGACAAACTGAGAAAGAAAAGCCTGCTTTATACCAGACTGAATAAATTTCTGAAGTAGAACGATAAGCGTAATATCTTTCCAGTAACTAGCAAAATGCGGGAGGACCAAGAAAGATCGGTGGTAAAACTCAACTCAAGGTACTTGACATCAGATGTATTTTCACCCTCTATGCCGTCTGTGGTAGTGGGGCCAAGTGAGCTTGCTAGTTGTTGTAGGTCACATTTACGTCTGAAAGTGAAATTGACTACCTGACATTTAGACAGACTAAACTTAAGACCGTTTGAAGAGGACCACTGACTAATCTCCGATAGAAAGTTATGTAATTTGGAACAATCTGACTGAGAGATGACTGGCATAGAAACAGAGAGGTCATCAGCATACTTAACAAAACTCAATATCAGTCGGTATCATGTCACATCAAGTTTGTTAACTCAACTGTGATAAAGAAAAACTAAACTTTGGTAAAGGTATAGCCTGATCTTTTTATGGACATGTTTGAATCAACTGGTAATGCACTAACAGTGAAAAAAGGATCTCGACAGGGTGGTGCACTTCTTAATATCCCATATTTTGTTTTTCAATCACAATTGATTGAATTAAACTTATTTTTATTTTTGATTCTTGATTCCATACTGTATTTTTGGTACAAGTATGGAATTTTTCGCACGCATATCGGTAGCTCAAATTTTGCAGGCTGGCCATAGATTTCAGGTGTGCAACAGCAGGGAATTGAACTTCGGACCATGTGCATGGTCGGTGACAGTCCTAACCACCGTGCCACCGACTCACAGTCTACAAAGAAGAAAATGTCGCAGGTTAGCATGAATTCAGTAGATGATCTTAATATAATGGTCAGGGTTGGCAGTGTGACAGTAGTCAATCACGTGTTCAAGAATATAGCTTCGTACAGACTTCCTTTCTATCTTGTAAAACCATGCTGCTATATGTTCTCGTATCCGTATAGAAAGTGTCCTCTGGTTACAGTCAGTGCACGTTGTTTCACAAGAACAGGTGGAATGATAAATACACATGGAGGCTAGCCAGACGTGGGAGATTATCTTCTACAGATATGGAGGACTCCTGGCTGGTGAGCGTCATTTGTAATTTTGCTGCAAATAAAGTCCTACTGACTGCTTTAGACAGTCGGCTTTCGAGTATATCTGAAGCAAGAGTCCTAACCACTGTGCCATTTACGCAGCCTAAATCACACGCTGCAGTTCTCTCCATCTCAGCTATTATCATCATAACAATATCGAGTGACCACTGGTCTATCCTCTTGTCAGTGTGTACTCTTCACACCACACCTCATCAGATTTTCCTTAAAGTTTTCTCATTCATATAACGATTTTCGTCTTCATTCTGACTAAGAAGAAACCGTCAGTTGTTAGTAATAGTCATAATAAGCACATCTCACAAGAGAGTATTTGTCAGGCTCATCTTTATTTCATTGCTAAACCCATTTGTATACGAGTCTAGATGTGTCTGTTTTTATCACGAAACCTGCTTTTTCTATCTCCAGTATCTGTCAACTCTACGAATGCAAGCAAAACTGCTGAGAAGCCTCCTGTAAAGATGGAAGTCAGGGAAAACAAGAATGTGGTGAACGTGACCGAAGGGAAGCCTGTCAAGAAGGCAGAAGAAGTGAAGAGTGTTAAAAAGGTACAAGCAGAGAAAGATGAGAAGAAGGTGAAGGAAGCGAAGGAAGTGAAGAATGCTAAAGAAGAGAAAAGTGTTCAAAATATCAAAGAAGATAAATTAGTGAAGAAGGTGAAAGACGAGAAAGATGTGAAGAAGGCGAAAGAAGAGACTGTTGTGAAGAAGATTGCAGAAGAGAAGACTATCAAGGAGGTGAATTTAGAGAAGGATGTGAAGAAGACCCAAGAAAAGAAGGTTGTGAAGAAAACAAAAGAAGTGAAGGATAAGAAGAAGGGAGAAGAAGAGGAGGAGGAGGAAAAGAATGCAGGAGAAGAGGAGAATGAGGAGGATGCGGAAGATGATGAGGAAGAGGAGGAAGAGGATGAAGATGAAGGTGACGATGACGAGGATGACGAAGACGAAGACGAAGAGGAGGATTCGAAGAAAAGCGAGTAGAAACGATTTGTGCAGAATCAGTTGATTGAATGCTAGAGGGTATTTTAATGAAGTGACATTTGTGATTTCATTACTATAATTTCAATTATTGTTACTAACAAAAATAATAGAATCCAAATATATGCCAGTGACTATCCAAATTGTCTTCTTTTTCAATTTCATTTATGTGAATTTATTAGGTAGAGGGTGTACAAGTTACCTATTACCCACTATCTTTGATTATTATAATGTGATATCATCTGTGTGTGCACTGTGATAGTCTGAGTGATTGTACTTCTACGAGTATAATTCATAGGCTCACTTACTTATGGTCTCTTTAATGATAATCAATGGTTGGAGGCAGTCGGCAGAAAGCCTTGGACCTAGGTTTCGTGATAGTTGGCACTCATCCGCAAGGCGTATCTGCAACCTTGAAGGAACTCATGTCCCTTTTTGAGATTCGGACCCGCGTCACCCAGTTCTGCAATCACAGACGTCACCACTAAGCTATTCGGTCCCACGATTGACCTCCTGTAGCACTGTAGTGGGTATTTCGATCGAACACAAGTAACTAGTGTGACATTTCTAGTCCTTTCTTTGATGCAGACTGAATTTTATCAGTCACGTTTGCAATGTGGCCACCATTCTAGATAGCTGGACATCACGATGCACATTGATTTGATGATATTGGATGGTTGGAGGCAATCGACCACAGGAAGCCTTGGATCTAGGTTTCGTGCTAGTTGGCACTCATTAGCAAGGCATTATCGTCTCTTTGCTTGTAACATATACGTCGTGCAACCGTACTCTATAGATAGTTCTCAATACCTGTGAGTAATGCAAGTCATATTTATAGACTCGGTAAGAACACTCAATGGCTAACTAGGCAGGAGTAGTGAAACCCACTGAATTAGTATGCTGCAGTCACTTTAAGTAATAAAACCGCAAACCACACTATTAATTAAGTGTAAAGTTCAGTCCACTGGCTACAAATGTGTAAACATCATTTTCATTTTCATTGGTGATATATATTAGTGCATCTACTTATTGTTCTGAATAAATTTCAAGAATCAGCTCCATCAAAACACATGAATTTCGTACAAACAGTCTGTTTTTTTCAATGTTTTGAATTGGAAATCAACAACTGTAAAAGTGGTAAAGATGACATTTGAATAGCCTCTCATTTTCTAAATTCACCGATTGGACGATCAGACATTTGCATGAACATAAATGTATCCAACAAATCATTACTTACAACTGATTATCTGAATGATGGAAACTATCAGTTTCAGCATGTAGCGATCCTTACGAATGAAATAAGGTGGTGGAATTGAAGTCGAAAAATAATTACAATGCAACCAAATTGAAAAGACAAAGAGGATTTCGAGGCATCTATACTTGTCAGTGAATTAATCGAAATGTGTCGGTCAGATGATTCCGAGATAAACGGATCCAAACATCATGATATACTTGCAGTTTTACAATTGTGAAAGATTGTGCTAGTTATATGATAGAAGATAACGTCCAATTCCTAGTCGAAAATGATCAGTGATATAATTAATTGACGACTTATCACAGCACAGTTATATCATTATTCATGGAGCACTCAAATATGTCCTCACATTCTATTCAAAAAATTTAGCAGGAAAATTTATAATCGACTTCATCTTGCCGGCTCTACCCTACCTCAAGTGTACATAGATTAACAAACGAACAACTCTACAGAATACTAGATATGATCAATCGTAGATTACAGTGTTGCTGGTATGCATGCTTATGTACGTGAATAAACATTTGAGATGAATTTCTCTTTCTCTTTATTAGCGTAAACAATAAATTGATTGGATGAGACGAAACGTTCAACCAGACAAAACAGGGATGATGTTTAGTAAAATTTAAATTTAAGATCATTGCACTGATAACCGTTTTGAAACGGTCAGACATATAATACCTGATGAAATCTATTACTTACTGACATATTCATTATTTCACATCAACTAAATGTTAAATGAAGTAATTCGGTTTGTAATAACTGGCCGTGGAATCCACGATGCGTTTGATACTTTTTACAAGAAAAGGGGTTTTCCTCGTGCCCTGAGTGTTATAGTGGATAACACTTCAAGGTTTGAAAAGATAGGCGCTGAGTTTCAGTCTCTATGTAGACGCCAACAAACATTGGTGCCGAATAAAGCAAAATACATCATTGATTCGATTCTAGCATCTATTGAAATCCCTTCAGCTAGATGGCAGTTAAATGCTTGAAGTTAATCGCCAGACATCGTTGCTCATCCATACTTAGAGGTGCCAACATGTTAACAGAAGCCGATTGTTTTAGTCCACTCAGTTGAGAGGAAAATGAAAATGAATATTTGTTGGAGGTGCATTGGAAACCTTTGGAAATTTTACTGTCTGAATTGTAGGGACAATACCTGAATATTTCTCGGAAACGTCTGTTCGAATTCTGTTAACTCCTAGCGAACAAACAATGTATTGACTTCAGCCTCCCAGGAGGTGAATCGTGAACACGAATAGATAAGTGGTAACACCTCTGACTTCATCAATGTTTAACGCGGTTTCAAATTCCAAAGTCGATATCAGTTCCTTGAAACAGGTAGATATTATACATTGGTGAGTGACGTCTGGCAAGTTGTCACTCCAGCATGTTTTAAGAAGTTGATTCTTTTCAAAAGACGCAAGTTATGTAAGAAAAAAGACGCAATATTGAAGACGAATCGAGCTGCGAGACTGGTCTCCTCTTTTAAAGCGACCTGTTCATCTACACACTCCAAACTAGACAAACATCAGGTACACATCAATTCCAGCTGTTTTGAATAATTCATACGCATTGGCTATCGCATGCAAATAAGAAACATAGAGAAACAGTTGTCTACGACGATTCTTGAATACGTTTCAAAGAGTGAATATCTTAGAGACTCAGCTTCGGGCGTGAGATCTCAACACCTGCTCAAAGAATGTTGTCAGACGAATCTACTAAAATCTTTTAAAGTAGTGATCACACAGGCTTTCCATGGTGACTTTAAGTAGCGGCAGCTATCGCCTTCCGAAGAGTGAAACCTCAATTATTTAAAGATACCGTCATTAACCCATTACCAATTAAGTTAGCACTGTCTTTCCCACCTTAAGTCTAAATTTCACTTTATTTTCATGATACAAGTTGAACAAGAACGACGGGTTGTGTAAAATATGATGTTATGATTATTTATTTTGTCTTCTTGTTATCATCTATGTACACTTCAAAAAGTTTATGTGCATAACAGTTTTAACACACATGATGTCAGTCAACAGGAGATCCGAACTTTACATAACAATGCTCAGAAATTACACTTATACAGTTTTAGATCTAGGTTGTTCAGGCGTAAGCAAAAGTTAAATGATCGGATGCCATTTCAGTAAAATTACATCATGAAGATAGGAGATGGATAAACTAATGTGTAACTAATACATTGAATTACGTTGTTCTGAGTCCAGCTCCAATAATAGAAACAAGAGACAAGCAAGGTTAAGCTTTAACGAACGGAAGGATTGATGACGAAGACTGTGCAATGAAGTGAAAAATGTGAGCGTAAGTACTAACAGTTATCAGGGAGAGGAAAGACTTATGTCTGCTTCTTTCTTAACATATTAATCGGATTTCAGGCGGATGATGGCAGTTACTTCAGTAGACGTGAGACGGATAGAACTATTCTTCTACTGATAATTTAGAAGGATTTCTTGACCATATTGGTAAGATTTCTGGTGCGCCATCCTTCCTACCCCTCTTAATACAACTGTTAACGCAAATATATGTGAAGTTTTATAAACACAGTTCAAATGAGAAGAGTGTCTGTCAGCATTTGTTTCTATCATCGAGTATGTTGTCCGATAGATGGGAATCAACTTAGCTGCAGGATAGGTTCTACCTAGTCAGGTGTTCAATCTTCTGGTGACAATGTGTTCAATGTAATTACCTTCAAACTGAGTTAAATGACGACAGATTTTCCACAGTGTGACTGGTCCGGCATTTGAGCCTTCACACCTGCGGTAATTCGAAATGAATTTCGGAGGAAAACTGCTGTTGCTTAACATCTTCTTGAGAATCAGAAATTACTCCTCTGATATCACTGTTGAAAATATTCCCCTGCCTCGATAAAACAGAGTTTTAACCAGTGCTCGTTAGTAGGTAATTGGAGAAAAAAAAACTATTAAAATGTGAGTGTCATCTGTTCCATGTAGACGTTTAGTGAATTGATCACAGGAGACAACCATCTTCCTGGGGTTGCATAACAACGTCAAGGAAATTGAACCTTCCATCATTTTCATGTTTCACAGTGAATTCAATATGTCGCGTATGTGTCGTTGAATAATCCGAGAAGCTGGAATGCAGGATTTTCATTGTTATGCACCAAAAATACGTCATGGACACATCGAAAATAAGACGTCATGTCGCCAATTACAATATTTATGTTTGTTCTCTCAAGTTTGGACTGGTAAATGTTTGCTGAAAGGAGATAAGTAGACTGTCTATAGCTACACCATCTACGTTATGGCAAAAAATGTTGCCTAACTCCACTTGTAGGTCCATGGTACACATTAGCAGTAGGTGTTTGTCTCCATTTATTCGTTCTAATTCTATAAATATTATCTCCATTATTTCTGACCTCTTCTAAGGCTTTTGAATAAAGATCCAGACGATTGCGTAGCCATCTAGACTTATTACTGTTTTACCTATTTATTTCTTAAAATCCTTTTCCATACAGTACCAGGAATAACTTTGCTTTTTAATCAAAACTGTGTCATTTTTATCTTATCTTCGTTTCGTCTCCTGTATCCTACTTCATCGAACACGTAGTGTCAATTTAATCACTGCTTTTTGTAGTCAGAGTCAACTCAGAATATGGAAGCCGTGGAATCTGGATAACCCTATTCTACGCAGATAAATGTGTATGAAGAATGTTAGCTGTGGGACGCGATGCAGCCATACACAGGAATGCAAAGTGACCGTATAAAATGATGGAACAAAAATAATCTATGGCAGGTAATGGACAGATGGAGAATAAGGCAGTGAGGTCATGTG